GTTTTACAGTTAAACAACTAGCAGATCATGCAGTCAGGTACTTAGTTTTGACAGTCGCAATTACTTAAAAGAGTTTTTCATTAACTCTGGAAGAAGTAGATGACAAAAAAAACTTACAAGACACAACTTACAGGATAAAAGACTAACAACTTACTTATAACTGATCTGTACCTTTTAAAAACCCAAAACAAACAAAAAGCTTAATGTGCTGTCTTATCTCTAAAAAGAGATAGAAGTACCTACGAAAGAAAATATAAAGGTATTTCAATTTTCTACCCGGTCTAAAGCCATCTATGAAAATGTACCATATCAAAGATAACAAATAAAACAACTGTTCTGCAGTTCCTGTTTACAAACAAAACCACCTAGCCTGGTTACTGCAAATCCAGAAGTGAATTTAGAAATTCTCAACAGTACTGAGGTTTCAGGTGCCATTAGAAACACTAGATAAGAAAAACAAGGAGGGATGAACGGAAAAGAATAAATCGATCCTTTGTGTGCTTGAAAAGTAACAATTCTTCTTTTCAGACACTTTCTCCCCAGATCACATAAGCAGTTTTTGCAGAAAATGCGGTGCAGCACAGAATTAAAAAATATTTATCTCAGTTAAGCAAGAGTGCCTTTTGTTTTTGCTTCTACATAGACTCTCAGTCATTTAGAAGAAATTACAATCTGTCTGAAAGGTATAGAAGCCTAATGCTTTCAATAATGATAAATATGGCCATTCCAGGTAATCATATGCTCCTGATCACATGCATTAGTGTAATAGTTGGGGTGTGCTCATTTATTCAAAGCACTATCCCTATACAAATACAATATCTGAATATCTCTAAAACAAACAGAGATTTTAGAGACCATATGGGACCACACGGGGCCAGAAATACTGCAGAACAATCAATCTTCTTTCATATTGCATGGAGGCTGTACTATGCTCCATATAAATGCAGAAAAACCTGCTTGCCTGGGCCCTCCTTAGTACAGTTACTATGCAGAAAAAAAAAAAAAAGAAAAAAAAAATCAATGAAGAGACCTTATTCTTTAATTGTTTCTAGCTGCTTCCCTGATGTGTCTTCATTTCTGACCACTACTTTTTTAATACTAAGAGAGAACTACATGTCTGTACTGCTAACAACCAACAGGATCAAATTAAATGAAAAAGGTGCTGGTAATATATATCCTGTTTTCTGCAAACACCTGGATGCAGACCATGACAAAGAGTTCACAGTGGTAAGTATAATCATTGCAGATACATCATCACTGTGCAAACACTGTTAACACTCACGCCATCTCAGTTTGCATGGAATTTAAGACAACTAATCATTAAGAATTTAAATAAGATTATTTTCAACCACAGAGGCATAAAAACAGCAGAAAAATAACACTTTCACTAAATGATTTTTAAGATGTGTTTGAATTCATCAGACTACACAGGCTCTCTCAAACTTGGCAAAGAAAAAAAGCACTTTTAAGAGACAAAAAGCCAGCAGTTCAGCATATGCCTATGTATTTCCTGAAAAATCCATTTGAAGTAGACTCTGCAAGACAGAAATAAAACCTGTCACAGAAGCACAGGCACAATCCTATGGGCTAGACACATTCAGTAAGGAAAATAAAAGCTAACAAAATGCAACTATTATGCAAGCATTGTAAAGGCCGTTGACTTCCAAATAACAGAAAGTACAAGAACATGTATGGTTATGTCTTCAAAAGGAATAAAAAGTTGAAATATTTAAAAAAAAAAATTTCAAAAAGCAATCAGAACATTTTCTGAACTCTTCAAAAATGCTAGCAAGTAGTTTTTTTCCAGAAAAGCATGACTCAGGAATTGCATCAGATTACATATTGATCATTCAGAGAATGCTGAAAAAAAACCCAAGACAGTGTTAAAATACACAAAACTAAAAACTATGTGTCATGTTAGGAAACATGCCATAACTTTTGGCAACTGAAGGAGTACAAAGCCTTTACAAAGTTTTCATAGAATTGTATTTTTCTTCTTATGACTTTTATGGAATCTTTATTTTTATTTAAGAGTGGAAAATATACAAAAGCAAAGCATATTTATCTTTAAAACACAATATTGAAGATTATAAACTGACATATATATTTACTCACATAACACTATGCTTTATTACACTACAGTTTATTGGCTACATATATGTACAAAGCCCGAAGGATCATAAAACTCCCCCTAAGCAAACACTACCAATCAGCAATATCATTTTAAAAGAAGCAATTTGCTTATTTCACAATTCTTGGTAAGTTACTATTACTTACTTACTATAAAATTACTGACAAGAAAGGCAGATACCCCACAACGATTATTTCTATTATTGTTCCTTTGAATGTCTTTGTCACACACAAAAGCCTTCTCTAATCTCTCAATATAAGCACAAAAACTATCCAAAGAAAAAACAATGGCTGTAATGTGAGAGAAAAAACACTGCAACTGTTTTCATTTCTTTTCACTGTAAAAATCTAACACATCTTTGGTAAATAAAATGACTTGCCAAAAGATATATCTCAAGCATAATTCCCTAAACATGGTGTTGAAAATGTAATTATATTCATTACCTGAACATTTTACAAAATTCTATCAGCAAATGCAAAATGTTTGTGTATTTGAAAGGTAGTTTATTTAAATACTTTAAATTTCTGATGAAAACAGTGAAGATTCATGATATAGATGTTCAATCTACAACTAGCTTTGTTTCATAAAGGAAGCCATAAACTTGTGGCTACTCACCATAAACAAACCATAAACACATAATAAGAAAAGGAACTCCATTACAACTTGTTCACTTTCTACAAACCATTTCACTAACACCTAGACCCAACTAAAACACAGAACAACATTTAGTTATTTAAAATCACTTGTTTTGCAGGCCAAAAAAAGACACTGTTGGAATGAAACTCAATCTAGGTACAGCAACAATTTAGTATCTGCTATCAAAAGAACTATAAGCTATCACATTTATAAGAAAATGCTTTTCTGTTCATAACTGAAACTTAGCACGTCATAAAAATGTTTCCTGAACTCCAAAATGGCTCACAGTGCACCTAATTCTACCTGCAGCAGCAAGAGACCCCTGGGTTTGCTAGCAGGTTCACTAATTCCTGAGCCCATCTCCTGAGGCAAGTTTTCTACGACAAAACATGCGTCCTTTTTCTTTGCTGCTGCTTCCTCTTTTTTGGATACAGGCATCCTCTGTATAGCTCCAAGAACTGAATTTCTAGACTGCTATGTTTCCTTCCACCTGAATATGGGGACTTTTAGTTGCTACAGGCAAACAGGTATTCAAACAGGACAACAGGTATTCAAACACATTAATGCAAAATGCTACTCTGCTTACGCAAGTAGCAACTGTTAATGTGCAGCTTCAAATGTCTAAAAGTAACAATAACAACTCTTGAAAAAAAATATGCCGTGCATTTAATGGAAAGCAGATAGTTCTAATAATTCTCACAGAAAACTGGGGTTTGGATGCACTGACAGAGTATACATGGCTCCGTGTTTTCATTTCTAATTCAGTAATGACTCTTGCCCAACTAACCTTACATTCACTGCTATAGCAAAAAGAGACAAATATTTACACATTTTTAATACGTATAAGCTACAAACAAAAATAATACATCCAACAAAAGACCTCTCAGTCGAATAACCAGAGTGATGGGCATGTTCTACCTGTATTTCAGATGCAGGTGCCTACTGATGTTACAACCATTCATACCTTTCCCAACTGGGCAACCTGTTCACTTTCATTTACTACAAGCTTGTTTCCCCACTTATTCCATATTACTTTTTTTTTTCTTTTAAATCCCAAATCCAGTGAAAATACACACAGCAAGAGTCTGCCAACAGTCAACAAAGACTAGTTGGGAACTTAAGTTAAAAAAATAATTACATATGAATGCAGTCACTCCTTAAATGCACTCATTCCTTAGAAAACTACAAAATATCAAACAGTTCATATAAACGAGTCTGACCTTTTTTTCCACCCTTTATGAAAAGATCATTTTATAGGGAGAAAAAAAATTACAACTCCATCACAAAACCTTCATGTTAAATAATTGAAGCAGATATTTTCATTTCATGTTGGCCACTGAAACACCTCCAAGGCTATACCCAAATGAAAAATGATCTCCATTTATTACTCAGCTTACCACGAGTTTTACTTTAATATTACAGCAACCTCTACAGACCTCAGGACATATGGAGTTTCCTCTTATTCTTTTAATGCATCTGTCAAAGTTTTCAAAGTACTGAATGATTTAGACCTAAACAGACATCCTGATGCATAGACTACATTCTTGTATGGCTTCTTAAAAAAGAAAAGTAATTAAAAGGACATTAAAGAAAAAGCCCATATCTTTTGCATTAAATCTGAAGGAATAACTGGCATCCCTCTTTCTAACATCCTACCATTCCCTCAGTCCTTACAGTTATTCAACAGGAAAACCAGGAGAAAAATAGTTGTTTAATATTTTACAGGAGCTAAAAAGATATTTTTTGTTTTCCTGTCCAGATAGAGGGAATACAAAAACAATTAAGTTTACCACAACTACTAAACTCTTAACTGGGCAGCATGCAAAATGTGCTGTTTACAAACTGATGAAGGAGGACTGCGGTTATGGCTTTTTTCTTTACTTACTTCTGAACAACATGAAAGTCCATTAAAGTTGTGAGAGCCTGTATTAAATTAGATCAATAAACGGCAACTTATGTCATCTTATTTCAAAATTACTGACTTTCAGACATCTAAGCCTGAAATAAATACCCTAAGCTCTTCTATAATCAAGACAGAACTACAAACCACCACAGTGCAATGTATTTTACCTTTCTTTAAGGGATAGGAATAGCTCTCCAGCACTCCTTGGTTTTTTACTGCTGACTGTGGAGGAAGTTCCAGTAACCACCTTTTAGACAACAAAGTCTGGAAAAATAATTCCACCAACACTGCCTAATATTGGCTCCAGATACATTAATTTAAATAACTTACCCTCTACTGTTAGAGTACCCATTTTGGATTCCAAGAAATCAAATAGTGTGCTTGGTGCAGACGGTCTGGTGTTTCCTAGCTCTTCTTCATCTTCAGGTCTTATTCGGCCTCGGCCCTTCCCTTTACCTGTAAACATCAAAAGTTTTTTATGAGTAGGGAATAAATAAAAAAAAAAGCGTACACACTTTTTTTAAAAGTTATACTTGATTTATAAAATGTTTGTATTTTCTATCTTTAAAAAAGTCTATCACAGACAAATTAGATACAGATATTTTCCAGATCTGTGACTTCAAATTAAAAAGTTTTTACAAGAATACAATACACAGAGGTATCTTCTAAGTCAATGCATTCTAACTAGCAAGAGAAAAACTATGTAGATTATGGCCTTCTATAACTACATTAGTAATCCACCATAAACAAATTCCTTTTCTCTTAAAGCATTTCTTTGCAATTTATACCTCTAGGTGGTGGTCCCTGAATAGGTTTCTGTTTACTGCTGTTCAGGAGAAAATTTAACGCCGCCTCTAGGCTGTTACTGTTATCCATAAGCGCCTGTCTTGCCGCTTCTTTGCTGAAACCCATCTCTGTTATGTGTTTTAGAGCCTTTTCATCTACCTGAAATAAAAGGTACACACAGAACTAATCATAAAATACAGAGATTCTACAAAACCACCAGATTTTACTTTAATTTTCCATTAATTTTTAATTTAAATACTATTTCATTGATGATAAATATTTCAGTTTTATACAACATCTTCACATACAATCTCTCTTAGGTCCAAACAATCAGCTAGTAGCGGGTTTTTAATATTATTATTATGATTTTTAATTCATCAGCTTTCAGTTCTAATATTATGTGGTTTCAAGCACAAATTCCACTAGCCTACCCTTTCCCTTTGCTGTACACCGTAATAGTATGACAGACTGCAATATACTTTCTCTGAGATGAAAACTAAAAGGAATCTCTCAAAGTAATACTGGTATAAAACCTAGTCATTTGTTCCTGTTTGAACCCTTTCACAACTTTTACAGACAATACAAACCCCAGTTTTCTTAAAACATGGAGAAAATATAATTGCAAAGGTTCTGTAGAAGCAGAAAAGTACAAACCATTTACTTCTGCAGAAATACAGACTTTCTTATTCTAAACTGTACAGAGGCTAAGCAGGAATCATGGAGCATTAATTACAGAAAATAACCTTACATCCGCACTGTGTTAAAGCACTCAAATGAGAACTTCCAGTGAGGACAAAACTACCTGCAATAAACATGAAATGGGACCAAACCCTCTGTCCTTCCTCATCCCATATGCAACCAAAATGATGCCAGTTATCCACCTACTGCAACAGCTGTAACCAAATACGTTCTTAACTGGAGTCCCATGAACATAAGATTTTGTCTACAGGTTCCAAAACAGGCATACTGTGACCCTTCAAAAAAAACCACAAAACAAACAAAACAAATTGAACCTACCCTTTAAGATACACAACCTCTTCTTTCTCCCTCTGCTTAACTGACCATGAACTTTTATTGCTAAAATGATTTAAATTACAACTGTATGACAGTTGTATGACAAGTAACATTTAACCCTTCCTCTCCCCTGTTTTCTGCAGTCTTATGATGTAATTTCTCCACTCCTCGCTTCTGATGTTTTAATACATTCACTTTTTGTCTTAATTCCAGCTACACACTGTATTTTGGGATAACAGATATGAACAGGTCTCCTTTTCGGGCAGAGACACAAAATGAGTGTTTGTGGTTGCTATCTCAATACAGAGATTTCTCCATACAGTAAACCAGAAGATATAACAACTCAAGTAACTGTCATAACTATGCTTAGCTATGCAAAAACCATTTTAATGAGCAAAACATGATTTTGCAGCACTTGGCTACAACTCCCACATGCTCAGCAATGTTAAGTCCAATGCTTTCATGTAGCCTTCTGCATTCCCAATCTCTACAATACCCTTAAATTAACTATCCAAAGACTAAGCAAAGGAACAGCAATTTAAAAGGTCTTCCAAGACTAACAGGGGCAGAAACATGACCTCAGTGTCTACAGGGAATCATCATCCCACTTGAGTTTGTCTTCCAGTTGCCTAAACAATGTCTTATTTTTAATAAAAGAATATAATAGTTCTCCCTCTGGACCACTCTCCTAGATTCTTCTGCATGGCAACAAGGGTACAACAGAGTTAAGCACTTCCTCAGCCAATCTGCTTCACTCTTCTCCCCTTTGTAGTGAAGTAGATGGTTTGGATGAGAACTTCTAGCCATTACTGCTGCATCACCTCCTTTCTAGAGTGGAAATTCTGTGCATGACAGCTACATTCAAAGACCAGCAGGAAATGAAGACTCATATCTGCAGACCCTGCACTCTCAGCTATGGATACAAGAAAGAAATCGTGGATAGATCACAATTTGTGACCCAAGTGAAAGGCAATTTCCCAGATACAAATACTGTTTGAGAAAGGAGGTAGTATCTTAAGTATCTTTGGGTGTCAAAAACACTCCCTTCAATATCACTTACACAGCACAAATCTTGCTTCTCATATACAAAACTGTAAAGACAAAGAAAATGGTAGGACATATAAGGACTATTAAGAGAAGGACAACTGACCTCCACAATCTATTGTCTGTCTACAAAGAAACTCCATACTTCCTTGTTTCTTGTTTTGTAAGTAAAGATACAGTGCTCCAGGTTTCTCAGAAGGTAACTGTAATGTCCTATACCATATACACTACTACTTTTCTTTTGTGAGGACTCGGGTTTAAGTTTTACTAGATAAGACAACATTTTTTTTTTCTTTTTTTTTTTTTTTTTTTTACAAAAATCACGTTGAAACTCATAACTATCTCAGTAAGGTACAAAAGCACCTTAAGTATTCTAAACACACTTCAAAATAAATTGAAAAGGAAAGCCCTTATTCTTCAGGGTCTTTTGGTTTTATTTTTGTTACATTTGAGTTTTGTTTTAATAGTACACATTTAAAGTTCCACTTATGTCTTCCACCTTACCAGTTCTCGGTAGACACCTTCATTCTTTCCCTCAGGTTTTGTTATCTTCTCTTTCTGGAACAGTTCCCTGTTTCGATTCCCTCCAGCACTCACACTGAGATTACTTCTGCTACTACCACCACCTCCTCCAAACGTCTTGGTCTTCAGATAAGCACAAAAATAACATTTCAGTAAATAGAACTTATGAAAATAAGCCTTAACATTTAAGCTAGTAGAAAAGTGCAGTAAAATCGATGCAGCTGTATTTTTTATGATTATGCTTTGCGGCAACAAATAAAGCACTAATTTACAAACACAAAAAAGATAAATTTATTAGGTAGGACTTTTATTTCTTCCCCTATGCCAAAATGAAGATGTAAAAAGGGTATGTAATTCTAGTTTTTTATGACTTACCAAGCAAATTGGAAAAATAAACTAAAAAGGAAAACCAAGGGAGGACATAAAAACCTGACATGTTAGAACTAAACTTCCGTGCTATTCTTCCTGACTGAATACAGGAAATCAGGGATTTTTAAGAACTGAAAAAAGCAGATGGCAATTGATAATGTGTATTTATTACTTAAATCTTATTAGCTAAATTGTAAAACACACATTTTTTAATAGAGGTATCAAATCAAAATCATAGCTACAATAAAACATTATGATACGTTTATTAGCTTTATTAAAATAAGAACATACTCATCAATCCAAAAGGACTCTATTCTGGATTCATCTTTCTAAAGATACATGAGTAGAATTATAAGAAGGCAAACATCAGAAAGCATTTGTCACTTGAGAGAACTACTTAAAATAACAGGAAAAGATCAATCACAGTAAGTAAAATGCTGCAACACACGCATTCTAACCTCCTTGCTCTTTGCTACTTCTGCAATAGCAGCTGTTCTTTGCTTTTCAAATTCATCATTGTCCGCAACAGTTTTTGCAGTATTTGTCATTTGCAGAGTCTTTCTGCGATCAAGCTCTCTGCTATCCACTTGCACGTGAGAGGCACATTTCTGAAAATGCAAAAGAAAGTTTTAATTAACTTTTCTACTTATTCTCATTTGAAAAAAAAAAAAAAAGTATAACTGTAGATAAAGAACAGGACCCCAAAAATGTACACTTAGGACATCTAGATGTCTTCGCTGAAAGCACATTCCTCCAGTCCACTAGAAATGCCAAAAATAATTACTTCTACATTTTAAGGTTAGTTCATGATGTAGCTAATAGGATTCCTGTAAATACCTTTGTCATTTAAGAAGGGAATATATTAGCACCTACAAGATCTGACAGGAAGAATCAAAGGGTCCACATACTAAATAGAATTTTAAGTTTGAGAGGAAAAATGTTAAATATAAATTGGCAAAACAAAGTGACAAGATCAACGCAATTTTTTTTAACAGGCACATGTTTTAGATCCAAGTATTCATGATCTAAAGTGTTTTGATAGTCTTTATCTAACTGGAACCAGATCCCCTAGATATCATAATACAGTGCTTTTTTTAATGAAGTGACAAAGAGAAGTATACTATACCTGCCCAAAAGGTAGAAAAGGGGGAGGGCCACCTTCTGTTCCAATGTTACTCCTATTGTGTTTTGCTAAACTCTGTAAAAGAAAATAGTTGATTAATAAATTGCAAACAAAACCCAGACTATATGATAAATGTCTGTATTTCAGAAAGTATATGAAACTTGCAAGATGAAAATTTTAAGCATAAAAAATAAAATCTATGATACAATTAAAAATCATGGGGCACTTCACTTGAGCAAGGAGAAGGCTGGATGAGGGGCAGGAGATGAAGAAAACACATACACCAAATGGAAAAAATGCAGTTATATATCAAAATCTACACGAACAGAAAAAGCAGCACACAAACAGGCAGATCATAGAATCATTTCAGTTGCAAAAGACCCTCAAGATCATCAAGTCCAGCCGTAAACCTAGCATTGCTAAGTCCACCACTAAACCATGTCCCTAAGAACCACGTCTACCCATCTTTTAAATACCTCCAGGGATGGTGATTCCACCACTTCCCTGGGCAGACTGTTCCAATGCTTGATAACCCTTTCCATGACAAAATTTCTCCTAATACCCAATCTAAAACTCCCCTGGTGCAATTGAGGCCATTTCCTCTTGTCCTATTGCCTGTCACTTAGGAGGAGAAACCAACATCCACCTCACTACAACCTCCTTTCAGGTAGTTGTAGTAAGGTAAGGTCTCCACTCAGTCTCCTTTTCTCCAGGCTTAACAGCCCCCATTCCCTCAGCCACTCTTTAAAAGATCTGTGCTCCAGACCCCTCAAACAGCTTTGTTGCCCTTCTCTGGACACACTCCAGCACCTCTATGTCTTTCTTGTAGCGAGGGGCGCAAAACTGAGCACAGTACTCGAGGTGGGGTCTCACCAGTGCCAAGTACAGTGGGATGATCACTTCCCTAGTCCTGCTCACCACACTATTCCTGATACAGGCCAGGATGCCGTTGGCCTTTTTGGCCACCTGGGCACACTGCCGGCTCATATTCAGATCATATTATTGATCAGTCTATGTTTCTGGGCAGAGACAAATCTCCGTTTGCTGAAAACTAAGACCTCCATAGGCAGGACACACACAGCCTTTGTAGCCCAATGCTAAGAAGCATCCATCCTCCTTCTAGCCCATCTTGTGGATGGGTGTCACATTTGCTAACCTCCTGTAAACTGGGACCTCCCTGGTTAGCCAGGACTGCTGATAAATGATGGAAAGTGACTTGGTGAACACTCCCGCCAGCTCCCTCAGTACCCTTGGGTGAATCCTATCTGGCCCCATAGACTCACATATGTCCAGGTGCTGTGTAGCAGGTTGCTAACCATTTCCCCTTGGATTGTGGGGGCTTCATTCTGCTCCCCATACCTGTCTTCCAGCTCAGAGGGCTGGGTACCCCAAGAACAACTGGTCTCAACTATTAAAGACTGAGGCAAAGAAAGCATTACGTACCTCAGCCTTTTCCTCACCCTTGGTCACTATATTTTGCCCTGCATCCGATACAGAATGTCCTCTCCTAAACCCTCCTTTTGTTGCTAATGTATTTATGGAAACATTTTTTATTGTCTTTTACGGCAGCAGATACATTAAGTTCTAGTTGGGCTTTGGCCCTTCTAATTTTCTCACTGCATAATCTCACAATATCCTTGTAGTCCCCCTGAGTTGCCTGCCCCTTCTTCCAAAGGTCGTAAACTCTTTTGTCCCCTGGGTTCCAGCCAAAGCTCTCTGTTCAGCAAGGTCAGTTTTCTCCCCCGCTGGCTTGTCTTCTGGCACAATAGGACGGCCTGTTCTTGCACCTTAAAGATTTCCTTCTTGAAAAACATCCAGCATTCCTGGATGCCTTTGCCCTTCAGGATTGCCTCCCAAGGGACTCTGTCAACCAGGCTCCTGAAAAGACCAAAGCCTGCCCTCCGAAAGTCCATGGTGGCAGTTCTACTAACCCTCCTCTTTACTTCTCAAAGAACTGAAAACTCTATCATTTCATGATCACTATGCCCAAGATGGCCTCCAACCTTCACATCACCCACAAGTCCTTCTCTGTTCAAGAGCAACGGGTCTAGCAGGGTGCCTTCCCAAGTTGGCTACCTCACCACCTGTGTCTGGAAGTTATCTTCCACACACTCCAGGAACCTCCTAGACTGTTTCCTCTCCACTATATTGTATTTCCAGCACACATCTGGGAAGTGGAAGTCCCTCACAAGAACAAGGGCAAGCGATAGCGAGACTTCTCCCAGCTACTTACAGAATATTTTGTCTGTGTCTTTACCCCAGCTGGGTGGTCTAATAACAGACTCCCACCATGATATTTGCCTTGTTGGCCTTCCCCCCTGATTCCTACTCTAGCCCCCACTAACCTCTAGACAACCAAAACACTCCCTAACATATAGGGCTACCCCACCACCTCTCCTTCCTTGACTATCCCTTTTGAAGAGTTTATAGCCACACATTGTAGCACTCCAGTTATGCAAGTCATCCCAACATGTTTCTGTGATGGTAACTATATCACTGTTTTCCTGCTGCACAATGGCTTCCAGCTCCTCCTGTTTGTTGTCCATGCTGCATGCATTGATGTAGATGCACTTCAGCTGGGCTACTGAACCCACCACCTTTTCTTTACCCAGAGCCCAATGAACTTGCTGCCACTAGAGGCTGTAAAGGCATACAGTTTCAGCGTGTCTAAGAAGGGATCAAACAAATTCATCCCAGAGAAGGTAAGGTTCAGGGGGAATCTTATCAATCTATACAAATACCTGAGGGGAGACTGTAAAGAAGATGGAGCTAGGCTCTTTTCAGTGGTGCCCAGTGACAGGACTAGAGGTAATGGGCGCAAACTCAAATACAGGTTTCCTCTGAACATCAGGAAACCATTTTTTACTGTGACGGTGACCAAGCACTGACAGAGGTTGCTCGGGGAGGCTGTGGAGTCTCCATGCTTGGAGATATTCAACAGCTGCCTGGACATTGTACTGGGCAACTGGCTCTAGACAGCCTTGCTTGAGCAGGAGGGCTGGACAAGATGACCTCCAGAGGTCCCTTCTAACCTCAACCACTCTGTGAAATTCACGAATCCATGTATAAGCAAATACTGAAAGGATTAGTCAGGATTGTATTCCCTGATAAAGATAATACAATTCTGGACACCACAGCTCAGGCAGTGGTACTCTTCCTAAAATACATGTCTTTTTGCCATGGTTGGGAACAAAATACTGTGCCACTAGAACATTTCCCCTGTGGCCTTATGAAAAGTAGAGCACGTATGCTAAATTCATCACCAGATCTTTGGATTGCAAGGACCATAACAATAAGCACAACAAGTATTGATACTTATCATTTATAGAACAGAAGTACTCTAAACTCTTAGCCACAATCAGGCAATTCGTGACCTAGGCCTGAAAACAAAGCATTCTCAAATAATAAAAATTAATAGTAGCCAACAAAAGATGGATTTGTAAAACATTGCATTAAAATATCTGCCCATAGTTGATAACATTTTTTTCTTTCTTTACAAATGGTGAGAACTGCAGTAACCTGCAAGAAAATGAAATTCACTGGAATAGATACTTGGTTATGTGTTAATGACTTCGTATTACACAGAAATATTTAGTTTCAGAAGTGGAAAAAGGCAGAACAGGTCCTTAATGCTATTAAAATGCTTCAAAATTGCATTTCCTATAACACACCTGTTTTATCATCTTCGTTTCTTGTTGTCCCTTTTTTCTCCACCGGGACAGTCATGTATGATTACATACACCATTTACTATTCCCCACTGGCAGAAGTAGTTTTAATTACTATGACTTTTGCATATATATATATATATGTATACACAAAAAATATATGACATTACCTATATATTTATTACCCTGACGTAAAATTGATTTAATTTCATCATGTGAGAACTGTAGTATAAACATTAATATGCTTTAAGCCATTACACTATAAAAGAATTTCTTAAAATAAGTAAAATATTAATTTAGCTAACTAATACCCAAACCAAAACTTTTGGTCCACTCTCTTCAAGTTAACTACATTTATTTAGGAACCAAAGACCATTTTCTAAATTATTTATGGTTATTAATTCCTTTCAAGGGTAAAAAAAAAAATAATATCCTTTTCCTCATGCCTTGGAGTAAAAAACACTATTTAAGTATTCAATAAATTATTCAAAACAAAGCATTTAGAAGTGCAGAAATCTTACAACTTTTCTGCTTTGGTTTCAATCTGTTCACTTCAAGTGCTGCTTAGAATTATGAGCTAACCAAGGGCTGATCACTGTAGCGTGGTCATACCTTCCTATATCTATTAACTGAAGCAGCACAGTACAACAATCATTTCATGGCCAAGCTGCTTCGTTTCCCCAGGGTAGGTGCTCTAGGTACAATAAGCCCTACATTTTTTCTCTTATAGAGAAATGTAGGTAATTCTGGAATGAACTCCAGCCCTGAATCAAATTATAATAAAAATATCTAAGATAGGATAATATGATAGCCTAAGAACTTGAGCATTTTATCATAGTTAATTCCTCACGTCCTATAATCAGTAAGAATAAGCTTAAGTTTAAGGTCAAGGTTTTTTTCTTTTCCCCCTGCCCCCAAATCAGAATCAAGGAAACACATACAAAAGACTGTCCCAAACTACTGCTCAAACAAGTAATTTGGCAAATAGCAAAAAAGCACTTAAAAATTGACTGCATATTTACTAACATTTAGCTACATGGATTTTGAATCATAACAATTCATTGCATAAAATTGTTATCCAGAATGAAAGAACTCTGCTTAATGGTAAAAAACAGCCTTGACACTTTCCTTTTAAGTAGCACTGTCTGCTGAGACGTGAGAACAACTGCTTTGGAAATTAAACTCTACTTTACACCAAATAAAAAGCAAACTAGCAACAAGAACAATATTTTTAACTTAAAATTAAATTTGCTTGTAGCAGAGTGGTAACTATCATTTAGAATAAACTTTGTTATTATTAATACATTTAGTATGCTTCTTTTACTCTTTCTGCTGTATTTGTATTGTAACATTAAAAAAATATTTCTTAGGGAATCTCTTGAGAAACAAAGGTTCACAATATGAGACTGAACTCCTAGATATTATATACTATTACCCCCTTACACTTCTTTCTAATATGAATTTTGAAGTATAAAATTAATCTACTTTAAAAGTAGACGGTACAAAAGGATGCCAAATAGAATCTACCAAAATCGATGATGTGTAACTCAAATGTTCATATAAATTTTGGTCCAGTTTGTTCAAATCTGTAAAACACAAATCAACACCAAAGAAGGCTAGCCGTAACAAAACCAACTGTGCCAAGCTTAGTATTAGCAACAATAAAAGAAGTACTTTACATAGAAGTGACCATTGTGTTCATAAGCAGCTACTCTGTTTCAGTGATCTGCATGTAAAAATATCAAGATGTCTGTCTCTAGTACTGATGATAGATCCAGCGAGTATTTGGGACTGTTTGTAGCAGGGTCACAACTTCCTGCCCTAGGAACTTCCACTTATTTGTGAGAAAATGTATGAGAAAGTCTTCCTGCAGCAACTTTCATTCCGTTGCGACAGAAACCAGGCTAAAAAAAGGAGTCAAAGGGCTTACAAGTATTTATGGCTTGGTAAAAGATTTTAAAACCTCCAATCTGTTTTTCTAATCACAAATTCAGCTAAAGCACTGATGAAATCTGCAATGAAGAATTCATACTTAAGGTTACCAATTCCAATGCTTTCCATACACTTACTATGATTATTTTTGCCTCAAAAATATACAATCTGCACATGGTAATTGTTAAAGGCAACTATATTTTGGTACCAAACACATTGTTTAGGAAAGCAACGACCCATGACTGCACTAAAATAAGTTCATATATTTGATTAGTGTTTTCAATCCTTGCTGACAATGAAAGGAATCTGTTCCCATGCAAAGATCACTTATCAGATACATTATGCATGAGACCTATTTATACATATTTGGCTTCAACCCTAAAAATATTGTGATAGTAAAATTCTAAAAGTTTATCGTATCAAAATTCACAGCCAACACATTAAGCTTGATGTCATTAAATGTAATATGCATCCTGTAAGACGGCATTTCCAGTGGTGTTACCTCACCCTTTGTAATTCCCACTTTTCTATAAGATGCTCCACTTCACCTCCGAGCACTGCTGTATTACTGTCGTCCAACAGCAAGAATCCATTTCTCACTTCAACAGTTCCTGAAAGCTTAATTTTTGTTCCAGGTGGAGTGTTCAGGCTAGAAGTGGAAACAAAGTCAAATATTTCAAATATGTTTATTAATATTCTGACACCAAAAATATATAAAACTCTACTCTTATTATACTTCCAAAATTGTCATATTTCATAATAAAAAGTTAGCATCAAAAATCTTTGCAGTAAGTCCTTCAGTGTGCACCATACTTTTCAATAGCTTTATTGGAATGCTTCCCATTCATTACACAAAAATGCCATATTGCAAATTAGATTCTAACAGAGATGAATGTTTGCAAATTGTCTGTTTGGTTAAAATCCAATTTAACAATACCAAACTAAGGATGTGATTTGTTTAGACTAACAGAAGATATCTCAAAATCAGTTCTCTAAGACTAAGTTCCTCATTCTAGGATGCATTTATAGTTAATAAACAGAAGATCTCCAGATGTTTAATCATCTCATTTGTTTTAGACATTTAACTTAGGAGAAAACAAAGAGCTGTTAGAAAAGAAACTTTCTATACATTACTAACAGCCAGGACTGTACCAGAATAAATATAAAAAAACCCCATACATCTTGTAGTGATGCTTCTCTCATTATTCTATCATTTGAAGACATATGGATGTTCTCTGTGGTCTGCTCCCACAAGGAGGTACCTACCTTCTTTTCATGCAAATCTACCTTATGAAAAACAACAGCAGATGCGTAAAAGAATCACATATCTCCGACCCGTAACTGAAAGATATGACAAGCAGCGCAATCTGGAAACTATGATTTTTCTCGTGAGAAACAGGACACAGTCAGTTATAACCTTTCCACCAAGAGACAATAACCTCTTCAAAATATGCTAAAGCTATCACTGCAATCACAGGACCATACCAGGCAGTGAGGAACATTCACAGTGGAGTCAAGCCAATTTCAGCACTAGTGGCATTAACCTTATCAGTATTAATGGATTTTTGGTATTGTTCTGATAAAAGCAAAGAAAATGAGATCAGAAAAAAAAACCAAGAAAGAAGTATGGCAAAAAAATTAAAACTATGCAAAGGTGGAGTAAATGGAAACCCTAATAATGAAGAACTCATTTAAAAGAAAACTGTGATTTTTATTATTTAAAGAAACACTATGTAATGAAACAGCAAATTATTGTAGGTCAACACTCCAAAGCTGAAACAACCACATACAACACAAATTTAATTTTCATACGTTACTTGAAAAGAAGAGCTTACATCATTATTACAGAGTGATGAGTTCTCTGACATTTTTGAGGTTTTATCTAAAAGCTTTCAAATTATGTCTTCTACTGAGCCTTCTTCTTTAAGTATTTTGTGATCTAGAATCTACTTACACTGGAGCCTGCTTGTCTTTCTTTTCTGCTCTCTCTATATTCACACTGGAATATGACATTCCAAGTTCTGCTGGTTCAAGCTAAAATTAAAATATCATTAAGTGTCCTACCCTTTAAGACAGCATCACTCTAAACGGCAAGCTGGCTCCTGCTCAGAAGGAGCATTTTAACAGTAAAAGATGACATTTTAAATGAAGTATAAAAGGTCTATATCTAACTGTTGCAGCTAGCAGAGAAAGAAAGAGGAAGATTACTTTTTGTTTTAAATCAAAGTAATCTGAACTAGAGTGAACAGCGAAGTACACCATGACTCTAGAGACTAAACACTAGAGATATTTTTCCAACATCTTCACAACTAAATACACAAAATATCCCCACGTTCATCAGCAATTAGCTCTCTTACACTTCATTTTTTAACTGAAGAAATATTTACTAATTTAATCCAAGTTAAAGCCTTGCCTATGGTAAAGCACCACTAGTTGCATTAAGTTAGGTGTGTCAGACCTGTGACATACCTGCTACCACAGTCAGACAAAAGATCTGCTACTACTAAAAATTGGAAATTTGGCTCAAGTTTGGACACACCAAAATGCTGTGTGCCATGTCAACTCGAACTCAGCACATGGCTGCAAAAATCCACTTTCTTACTTTATGTACTTCAGCACAAATGGTATTGTAAATTACTTTCATATACACCTTTGCATGCTGAATTTAAGGTTCTCCTTTATATACAAAATTCAAGAAGGAAGCCTTTCTTGTGAAGCTACCTTTCAATATATTAATAAGGACACTTCCATTATTTTAAAGACATCTAAGTTTCAAAGCAAAACTTGGAAAAGAAAGTTATTCACCTTATTTTTGACATGCTACTATACTCGATAGCTGTGCAGCTTGTGTGTCCGTCGGTCATCTGTAAACGTAACATTCTGGGAGCAGCCTGAGATTCTTCGTTATCCTTTGGTGCAGAAACATTGCGTATTTTCTGTATTTGAAGAACACATGGCCCTTCCAGCTACATATGCAAAACAGAAAAGACAAAACTGTTAACACCCATGAAGCAAACACAGTGTAATATCTAGACATACTAACAGATGCCCCCAGGCAAAGGAAAGCACAATACGATCAGGCAGTCATGTTCAATTTCTGTCACTCATGTACTGTATGTTCTAAAGCATAATAGAAATGGCTTTTTCAAGTTGTGATGCTTCACATGTCTCTGCAATACCTATTATGGAAAAGGAGTGAATAAAAAGGGGGGGGGCGGGGGGGGGGAAGCAAACAAACATATAAAAATACAAATATTGTCACTTTCAGCATACTATGGAGTCCAGATAAGATTTTACATGCTGTACCTCAGTGTCTCATTCACAAAGTATTCTAAAGAAACAACCAACCACCTTTGAAGACAATCTGGTGGTATCAAAATTACATTTCAAGTTCAACTAACTAGGAACTCAGCTTCTTCAAACAGAGATGCAACCAGAACTTAACAACCTCAAGGGATGTCACTACCTGTTGGTTGCCTAAAACTGCAGCATATGCTACTATACACACCACAGTTTATGTTAACAACAAGAAGGGTGGGGAAAAAAAAAGCCCCAAACCCAACAAACCACCAAAAAACTAAACTAAAACCAACCAACCAAACCACTTCATCACGTTTGGGTTATAGCAGAGTACACATTCATTCTGATCCCTCTGAGAAATAAAAATGAATAATCTGTTGCCGCTCAACTGATCACTAGCACCTGAAAGACAGCAGAAAAGATGAAAAAAGTGCACATTTCATCAGCTTCTTCCCTTTGAGAAACAGAATAGGCAGCCCAGAACACCACAAAATGACAGCAGATAACCAGGAGGTGAATATATATAAAAGAGAATATTAAAAAAAAAAAGAGAAATTAATAAATAAAAGAATATAAGCAGTGAAACCAGATAAATTAGAAGATGAGGAAACAGGAACTTTATTTCGGATGAGAACAAAAGCGAATAGAAAATACTCCGGAATACCATCAAAGCATGAAATTGTACTACGGGGAGGAGGAAAAGTGTCACGAAAAGGAGCAAAAGCAGTACTCTACAGAGGCTGCTTCTTAAATGGCTTTGTGATGTTGAGACAATAACGAGTAATACAAACAAAAACTTCTAAAAATTTTTCCTATTCTTGAACACTTTTAAATAAATTTAATTTGAAGGCACTTGCACCATTTATGACTTCAAATTGAACTACGGAAAAGACAGTAATTGAGACTGAGGATTTCTCAAAAGCTGAAGAAGTTATGTTTATTTGGAATCTACTGAAACTCAGAAGCTTTCATTTCTTTTTTCTTCAACACAGAATGTTTGAAGAAAAGAGCATAAATAAGAACAACAGTACTTTTAGTAAATGCTGACTGAATCTTATTTCTTTCAATAACAATTAAAAGACTCGGTTTCTCACATGGGGGACTTCAATCACCGTGATACTTGCTGAAAAGGCAACACAGCCAGGCACACACAGTCCTGGAGGTTTCTGCAGAGAATTGATAATAACTTTTTGACACAGGTGGTGGAAAAAACAAGGAGGAGAGGTGCACTGCTGGACCTTGTGCTGACAAACAAAGGACTAGTTGGGGATGTGAAGGCCTTGGCTTCAGTAACCATGAAATGGTGGACTTCAGAATTCTCCATAGAAGGAGCAGGGCAAAAAGTAGAATTATAATCCTGGACTTCAGAAGAGCTAACTTTGACCTCTTCAAAGACCTACTTGGAGGAATCCCATGGGCTAAAGCTCTAGAAGGAAGAGGGGTGCAAGAGCGCTGGTTAATATTCAAGCAACACTTCAGCCAAGCTTAAAATCAGTGCATTCCTAGGAACAAGAAATTAGGTAAAGGAGGCAGGAGACCTGCATGGAGGAGCAAGGAGCTTCTGGAAAAACTCATATGGAAGAAGGAAGTTTGCAGAAAGTGGAAAAAGGGACTGGCCATTTGGGAGGACAGGAATGCTGTCAGAGTATGCAAAGATGCAATGAGGAAGGTTAAGGCCCACTTGGAATTAAACCTGGCAAGAGATGTCAAGGACAATAAGAAGAACTTCAAGTATACCAGTAGTAAAAGGAAGACTAGGGCCTGCTGGTAAGTGAGGTGGGTGCCCTGGTGATGGAAGATGCAGAGAAGGTAGAGTTACTGAATGCCGCCTTTGCTTCAGTCTTTACTGTTAAGGCTTGCCCTCAGGAATCCCAGACCCTGGAGGTAAGGGAGCAAGCCTAGAGAAGGAAAGACTCTCCCTTGACTAAGAAGGATTGGGTTAGAGATCATTTAGGCAAACCTGACACCCACAAATCCATGGACCCTGATGGGATGCACCCACAAGTTCTGAGGGAGCTGGCAGATGTTACTGCAAAGCCACTCTCCATCATCTTTGAAAGGTCATGGAGAACAGAAGAGGAGCCTGAGGACTGGAAGAAAGCTAATGTCACACTAGCCTTCAAAAAGGGCAAGAAGACCAAGGAAACTACAAGGCCAGTCACCTCCAACGCTGGAAAGGCAATGGAACACCTCATCTTGAATGTCATCTGTAAGCACATGGAAGATGACAAGGTTATTCGGAGTGGTCAACATGGATTCACCAAGGGGAAATCATGCTTGACAAACCTGACGGCCTTCTATGATGGATTGACTGGCTGGGTAGATGAGGGGAGAGCACTGGATATTGTCTACCTCGACTTTAGCAAGACTTTTGACACTGTCTCCCATAGCATCCTCATGGATAAGCTTAGAAAGTGTGGGTTAGATGAGTGGACAGTGAGGTGGATTGAGAACTGGAGAAATGGCAGAGCTCAGAGGGTTGTGATCAGAGGCACCGAGCCTAGTTGGAGGTCTGTAACTAATGGTGTCCCCCAGGGGTCAGGACTGGGCCCAGTCTTATCCAACATATGCATCAATGACCTGGATGAGGCGACAGTGTCCCCTCAGCAAGTTTGTTGATGACACATAACTGGGAGGAGTGGCTGACACACCAGAAGGCTGTGCCACCATTCAGTGAGACCCGGACAGGCTGGAGAGTTGAGCAGAGAGGAACCTAATGAAGCTCAACAAGAGCAAGTGTAGGGTCCTGCACCTAGGGAGAAATAACCCCAGGCACCAGTACAGGTAAGGGGTTGACCTGCTGGAAATGTGCCCTTGTGGCCAAGAAGGCCAATGGTCTCCTGTAATGCATTAAAAAGAGCGCAGCCAGCAGTCGAGGGAGGTCATCCTGCCCCTCTACTCTGTTGTGGTGAGACCACATCTGGAGTATTGTGTCCAGTTCTGGGCTCCCCAGTTCATGAAAGACAAGGAACTAGTGGGGACAGTCCAGCAGAGGGCTACAAAGATGATCAAGGGAATGGAGCATCTCTCTTATGAGGAAAGGTTGAGAGACCTGGGTCTGTTTAGCATGGAGAAAACAACACTGAGAGGGGATCTCATCAATGCTTATAAATATCTAAAGGGCAAGTGTCAAGAGCATGGGGACAGACTCTTTTCAGTGGCACCCAGCGACAAGGCAAGGTGCAACGGGCACAAACGGGAACACAGGAAATTCCATCTGAACAACAAGGAACAACTTTACTTCAAGGGTGACAGAGCACTGGAGCAGGCTGCCCAGAGAGGTTGTGGAGTCTTCTTCTCTGGAAATATTCAAAACCCACCTGGAAGCCATCCTGAGCAACCTGCTCTAGGTGAACCTGATTTGTCAGGGATGTTGGACTAGATGATCTCTAGAGGTCCCTTCCAACCCCCACCATTCTATGATTCTGTGTGAATATCTTATTTTACAGACCTGTTAAAATTAGCATTTGACTCATACCCTAAACAACCTAGAGTGGGCTCAAGGAGTCTCAATGCAATGCTCTGATAAAATTCTGAGTTAGCGTTCTCTACCTCACACTGCTGGATATTAATAAATGATCATTTCTAGGTCAACTGCAAACACAGTGAGGGAGTAACTACCCCATACTTGTGGGGCTCAAGGCCCATATACATATGGGCTCAAGGCCCACAGCTTACCTAAGGCTGCCAAACAGCTATTTCTTAAAAGACTACAACTCAGTTTGATATGTCAGCATTACTGCATGCATAATCTTGTCAAAATCATCTCAATTGGAAAAAAAACCAAACAACTAAAAATATGTAGGACAGTTTTTGACACATGCAGTTTCATACACAGTTACATCTAGAGATCTGGTGTAGCAATCACTCTCACTAGAAGATAAAGACAAGCGCCTCAAGACGGGATGATCTGTGTTTTTTTTAAATGCAGGTCAGTTGTAACTGGAACAGCAAATCGGATCTTCCCTTTTTGAAAAAAAGAAAGACAAAACAAAACAACAACAAAAAAAGCCTGTAAGAAACCAAAATCCACAATCAAAGAGACACTAAAAAGCAACTAAGCACAGTTAGTTGTATTAAAGTAATGAGACAAATTGGGAACATATAAGTAATGTTAAACAGGAATTAGAACTCTTGGCAACTTATGTTTTAACCACTGACCATCAATCTGTCAGTACTCAGAAAGCACCTCTCTGAGCACAAAAATGAAATCCTTTCTGAATACTTCTGCTAGAATGAATGTTTCCATTGTGATGGAACATAAATACTCAAAAGAAAATCAGTTACGCCTTAAAATTTAGTAATGATGTTGCATTTAAGTTATAACTTTATAGTCTGCTTTGCATTTTTATTACACCAAAAATATTTAATCTATATTTATGGTATGTAGTCATCTAGATGGAAATGCGAGAGTTCAGCTTTTTCAAATCCTATGCAAATGTGGCCATCTTGTGGTTAGTGCTGGTAATATTGATTTTTTTAAAATCCGTAAAAAACACACATATAAATGAGTGAATAAAACATTTCTGTGTATTAATGACTGAAGTTGGTAACCGCCTATAATGATCAAATACCCGTGTTGTTTCACTCTAGGACTCTATGCCAGCTTTTATGCAAACATTTGCCTATAATACTACAAAATAAAGTTTTTTTCTATGCAAGATGGAAATACATCATACGTTCTCAAGATACAGATAAATAATACTGATCCTAGTCTTGCATGAGAGGAACAATAGTAGCATATAATTTCTATTGTTTCCTGAAGCATTTCTGAACCACAAATGACTACTTTCTACTGAGAAATTATATTAAAAGTCACTCCTGTCCCAATCGTATCCTTTACTCGCATAAAGCAAATAATCTCCTTTATAAACACATATTTCTGTAACATAAAATATTTGAATATATTGCAAGCTAAGTAGCAGCACTTACTAAGTAGTCAGATTTGCTTTATGTTACTCAAAAAAAAAAAGAAAACACTACATTTAAGAAAGCAAAGATTCAGTACACTAATAGCGTGCACTAAAAACTATAAATAGGAGTCATTCTCAAACACAGACTTTTCCTGCGCAACCATTACTCCTTTTCAAAACTTGGAGGATTATCATCCTCCAGTAAATGGTTTGCAGGTGTTGTTTTGGTTTGGGTTTTTTTTAGAATATTTTTTTAATATCTATGATCCAAACAAAGACAGTCAGTTAAAGTGAGACCAAACTAAATTTTACTAGAAGTTCACATGTAAGAAATCCTGGCTTCTTAGCAATACTGATAGAAGTATGTAAGTCTCTAGGATTTCACAAATACCATTTGTTAAACAAACACTTGTCTTTAACAAAGACCATTAGGGCCCATAGTTTTCTTCTGTCCCACCTGTTTCCTCCAGCTTCCCAAAATTTCAAAAAGAAAGTTTGGATTGGACTAGATTCCTGCAGCGTTCAATCCTATTATCCAGTCCTCCATCTCCATCAACAGTAAGACAATCCCATACAGAAATTCACCAAGCTCCATTCAGTAACAGTTCCCTTTTTTTTGTTATTTAGAATCCTACATACATACTGTTTTGTACAGACAGTAACAAAAATGAGAACCCTAAAAAGGACATACAGTAACACAAAGCAGAACATACAGTGAGGGGAGAGTGGCAAGTTTAATAGGGATCCTTGAAAATTAAACTAGAACTAGTTTTTTCTCACCTTTTCATTTTCTGAGATATTCAGAAGTACAAAATATAGATGTATTTGTGTGTGTACAGGTACAGAAGGTTTTTTCCATGAAAGGGTAGCTGTTATCTCACAGGTATTTCAAAGCACTAACCACCACAGTTTTCCAGCACACTGCCCTCGTTTTTGTACAGAGGTTTTGTATTTTGTGGAAACAAACAGCACAATTGTATCTTCTCTAGTTTGAGCTGAGAAACATGAAAAACCCAAGTGGTAACTTGAGCACCTAAACTAGAAGCAAACATTGTAAAGCGTGTAAGTAGATTCTCATATATAACGTCCATCAAAGCTTTGAGGAATTTAATGACACTTTTACCTTTGATTGACCACTTCAACTACACAATGACAACAGAAATTTAGAAAACATTCTCTCTAAAAGAAACGGACAAGTTACTAGGTATATTCTCAAGTGATGAATGAAAACTGAACAACTACTTCTAAAGAAATCCTACCATAATGCAACAAAACTCTGAAAAAACAGTACTGTTAAAGTCACTTTGAACTGGAATCATGTTTCAACAGCAAAAATAAATAAGGCAAGCGTTATCACATATACAACCTTAACACTCTGGAGAATTACTTTTAACCAAACACAACTGGACCTTGTGAATATTACATCATCCGAAAGAAAAATTTAGTACTACTCCAAGTAAGTAACTGAGAAATGAACAAAGCAAAAACAGATGCCATAAAAAGCAATTTTGCTTGTTTTCCGTATTTCAAAAACAGGATACTGAAGAGGAAGAAAAGTATTAACATCACAGACATAAGAAACAGATAAATCAATTTCTTTCAGGTAGTGAAAAATTATTTAAGCACTGAAGTATCTTTAACAGCATGTTATCCAGAAACCTAAACAGGTAAACAATCAGATTATTTTTTTTTACCTGCAAAAGATGTAGCTCCACAAAATGAGAAATAAAGTTATTAAATTAACTTTCTGGGAAAAGTTTTATTAAGTAATATGTTGCATGCACAGACTAAAAACATGCTGCCTGACTAAAAACTATGATCCTGCAATACATTCTCTCTCAAGTGGGCTTTTCGGATCTGACAATAATATTCCTGCT